TGTATATTAGTATATAATATTTATATATTATAATATAATATAGAGAGAATAAATGGATGCAGGGGAGCAGATTGACGAGGAATTGGTTGCGTTTCATTGTGATTTACAATCTATATTTATAGGAAAATTGGAAGAACAAAAATTGTAGCATTTTAAGAGACCACGTAGCATCCACAATGTTACTACACAATATATACGTATATGTATTGTAATACAACACTCAACCTTGAATGCTTTTATACAAAGAATGTGCCTAGTTAAAACCTTACTATGAAAAAATCTTGTGGGAAAAAATCATAGTGAAGGAAAAAGAGTACAACATTCTGATATTAATGCGCTCCCCCTGTTTTGGACTTTATTTGATGTCTTTCATCCGGCGCATTCCAATTCCTTGCACCAATTTGTTGAATGTTGCGGTCGGCAGCGCCTCCATAGACAAATCTGCAAAATTTTCAGACGATCGAATTTGTTGCACATTAATTTCACCGCTTTTCTGAAGATCGTAAGTGAAAAAGAACTTCGGAGATATGTGCTTTGTCCGATCGCCTTTAATATAACCTCCTTTTAATTGAGCTATACAAGCTACATTATTTTCGAATAATATTGTAGGGGGTAATACATCATCAGAAATCAAGCCAGAATTTTTTTTAATATGGTGAGTCGTGGACCTCAAGCAAACGCATTTAGACTGGCTTCGTGAATTGCTAAAACCTCAGCATGGTTTGAAGAAGTAGCTGTTATCGTTTGTATAGCAGATCTCCAAGAGATTGTAGTTCCACCACATGTAAATAAATAGTCAGTTTGAGATTTTGCTTTGTGTGGATCCGACAGATAACCAGCATCAGCATAACCAGTTAATTCATTTCGAGATTCACTCGAATAAACCGAGGTTATGAGTCCCCTGAAGATAACGAAAAATGTGTTTGATACCATTCCAATGGCGCTTTGTGGGGGATGCGCTAAACCTGGCCAGTAGATTTACTGAAAAAGATATATCTGGTCTAGTACAATTTGCAAAGTACATCAATGCGCCAATAGCGTTGAGATATGGTACCTCGGGGCCAAGTATTTCTTCATTTTCTTCTCTTGGCCTAAATGGATCTTTACTGGGATTAAGGGATCTGACCACCATTGGTATACTCAGCGAGTGAGATTTATCCATATAAAATTGTTGTAATACCTTTTGGGTATATGTGGATTGATGGATAGATATTTCATTATTAACATGATCCACTTGTAATCCCAGACAATATTTTGTCTTTCCAAAATCTTTAATCTCAAATTATTTCTTTAGATATTCAATTGCAATTTAGATCTCTTCAGGAGTTCCAATTAAATTGAGATCATCAACATATATTGCAATAATGACAAAATTTGATCTATTTTTCTTGATAAAGACGCATGGGTAGATTGGATCATTAGTATAACCTTCTTTTATTAAACATTCGCTCAGACGGTTATACCACATTCGCCCTGATTGTTTAAGTCTATATAATGACTTCTTCAATTTGATGGAATATGATTCCTTTGGGTTTAATTTGTATGTTTCAGGCATATTAAATCCCTCAGAAACTTTCATATAAATATCAGTATCCAAGGAGCTATAAAGATATGCAGTAACTACGTCTAAATGATGCATATCGAGCTTTTCTCGCACTGCTAGGCTCACAAGGTATCTAAATTTTATTCCATCAACAACTGGAGAGTATGTTTCATCAAAATCTACTCCAGGTCTTTGTGAGAATCCCTGAGCTACAAGGCGGGCTTTATATCTCACAATTTCATTATGCTCATTTCTTTTTCGTACAAACACACATTTGTATCCAACTGATTTTATACCATCCGGTGTTTGAACAATTGGTCCGAAGACCTCACTTTTGTTTAATGAGTCAAGCTCTGATTGGATCGTATTTTCCCATTTTGGCCAGTCATTTATTTACCGACATTCATGAACCGATTTTGGCTCTGGATCCTCATTTTCTTCAATTATATCAAGTGTTAAACTGTATGCGAAGGCATTATCAATAATTGCCTCTTTGCGGTTCCAACATTTTCTTGAAGTAACATAGTTAATTGAGTTTTCAATAGTCTCATTATGTTCTTCAAGATCGTGTTCTACTGGAGCAATTATTTCAGGGTTGACTTCCTCGTTAGATTGAGGTTTATCAATGTCATTCCTGATATTTTCATGATTATCATCATTAATTCCTCTTTTCTTTCGAGGATGTTTGTCTTTGGAACCGAGCGGTCTACCACACTTTAGCGTGTCGTTGATTCATTAGCACTTGTAATTTGTCCATCAGGGACAATTATTTTAGTCAGAGCATTAGCAGCTTGGATATATGATCGAGTGACTTTGCTCGAGTCATTGAATGCATCTGGTAACTAATTTGCAATATTTTGCAAATGTATAATGCGTTGAACTTCTAGTTCACACTGCTTTGTACGAGGATCATAAAAATTCAATGGGATTTTCCAACTAATATCCCTTTTCGGTTCATTTCTCTCTCTCCCTAATGTCGGAAAATATGATTCATCAAAATGACAATCTGCAAATCTTCCAGTGAATAAATCACCCATCATAGATTCAAGATATTTAATAATTGACAGCGATTCATATTCAACATAAATACCCAATCTACGTTAAGGACCCATTTTTGTATGTTTGGGGGGGTGGAATATGAACATAAACAACACACCCGAAAATACGTAGATGAGATATATTTGGTTCGTGACCAAATACTAATTGCATAGGGGAATAGGTATGATAGCTTGTCGGCCTCATTCTTATAAGTGTTCATGTATGTAAGATTGCATGACCCCAAGCTAAAACGGGCAACATAGACCTCATCAGTAATGGTCTAGAAATCAATTGCAATCTTTTAATAAGTGATTCTGCCAGGCCATTTTGTGTATAAACATGAGCAACTGGGTGCTCTACATTAATTCCAATCAACATGCAATAATCATCAAATGCATTCGATGTATATTCACCAGAATTATCCAAACGTATAGTCTTAATTGAATTATCGGGGAATTGTGCTCGTAATTTAATAATTTGGGCAAGCAATCTCGCAAATGCCACATTGCGATTAGATAATAAACATACATGGGACCATCTCATAGATGCATCAATAAGCACCATAAAATATTTACATAGCCCACACGGTAGGTCTATTGGTCTACATATATCCCTGTGTATTCTTTCCAAAAATGTAGGTGATTCAATACCTACTTTAGCTGGCGATGGCCTGGTTATCAATTTTCCCTGAGTGCAGGCAACACAGGTTAACTCATTTGAGTTTAACACTTTTTAATGAATGGCCATGCGAATTATCAATTATTAGCCTCATCATTATACAGTCGGGATGCCCAAGGCGATCATGCCATATTTGAATATTGGTAGTCCTTTGATCTACCGTGAGGTGTGTTTTAACAACACCTAATCTGGCATAATATAAGCCAGTAGAGAGTGAGGGTAATCTCTCAATGATGCATTTCTTTTTATCAATGATATTGGTGATCAATAAAAATTCACCATCGGTATCACTCATAGTTTCAATGTGATAACCATTTTTCCGAATGTCATGAAAGCTCAGTAAATTTTTTCGAGCTTTAGTGGCCAACAGTGCATACTGTATCACAATTTTCGTCCCCGCGGGAAGAAATATAATGGCTTCTCCGGAGCCTTCAATTAATTTTTTACTGCCACTTATTGTATTGACATTCATTTTTTTCCTTTTCAAATAGGAGAAATAGTTTTTGTGTTTCAATATAATATGTGTTGTTGCACTGTCAATGAAACACATATTTGCATCATTTTGTTTGGCATCTATTTAACCAAAAATAAAATAGATAAGAGCTTTCGTGCTGATAACGTGTTATATAATAATAATAATATAAATATTGGTAAATATATATATATATATAAGGACTTGTATATTAGTATATAATATTTATATATTATAATATAATATAGAGAGAATAAATTGATTCAGAGTAAATGGATGCAGGAGAGCAGATTGACGAGGAATTGGTTGCGTTTCATTGTGATTTACAGTCTATATTTATAGGTAAATTAGAAGAACAAAAATTGTGGCATTTTAAGAGTCCACTTAGTATCCACAATGTTACTACACAATATATATGTATATGCATTGTAATACAACATGTATATATTTATATTATTATTATATTACTATTATTATTATTAAACGTTATTATTATTATTACTTACATTATCATCATCCATCTTTATCATCATCATTATTATTATTATATTAATATATATTATATTTTATATTTATCTTTATCGATATTTATCCGTTTAACAATTTTTATAATTATAATCAATATACAAAATAGAAATAAAATTTATTCTAATATATTAATTTTTTTATCCCAAAATATTATAAAAATATTTATTTGCTATAATAATATTATTTTATACTCCGAAATTGGGGCAACATGCATACCTAATTTTTTAAAATTAAATTTAATTCTCTACTGCTTACCTCTTATCGACACTCCCTAACTCTTGTAATTTTACCCAAATCACCTCTAACGTACACCTGCCCTATTATTTACTCAAATCAGATGATTATATACTTATTCTAGGAGCTATCTTATTCAAAAGTTAATTTCTATAATTAGCTCGTTGGGTTTCAAACTTTTATATTTAGTAGAATACGATATTCTAACTACAAAACTCTTATACTTCATAATATTTATATCACCCGATTATTAAATAAAAATATTTAAAGATATGAATAAACAAGCAGGTGCAGTACACTGCTGTTTTCAATCTGATTTGGATCACTATAAAATTCTCGGAATATAACACTAGGACTACGAATAGGCTATTAGCTAAAGAAATTCGTCGATTAAATAACCAATTAGCCAATTACGATTTTTTGAAGAATTTATAATTTAATATCCCCAACAACTAAAATTATATTAAAATCTATAAGTAAACTCTACATATAGTAAGAAAATAATACCAAAATCGGATTTGAAATCACACGGCTAAATCTTTTTCTTTCTTTTTTTTCGTCTTTCATTCCTCTTTACTCCTCTCTGCCTGCGTTCTTCCTTCTGCTCGAACTAATGGGGGACTTTATTTATTTATTTACTATATATGTATATATTTATATTAGTGGAGGGGAGCCGTGCTATGCAAGGTGATCGTGATTAAATTTTATTGAATTGTTAAAATTAATTATTGTTATTAATTATATAATATTTTAATATGAAAATCGTTTGAATAAATTAAAATATTTTATACAATCAATTTTTAATATCCTAAATATTAGATATTGATAGATTTTATCGATTAAATAGATATATTACAAAAATGATGTCTACATATAATATCAGTGGTGTCTACTCATTTTTATAAATAATTTTAAAATTATAATTTAGTTGAAATGTATTGGCCAAATATTTAAAATATTTGAACAAAATTAAAGTTAAATTTTATAAGTCACTTTCATTTTAATATAATTAAATTATAAAATATTTTTCCCGTTTGGGATAATTACATTATATTTTTATAAGTTAAACTTATCTATAATTTATTTATAACTAAAAAAATTATGCACTCATAATTTTATTCTCCTTTTTTAACCAAATAATGATTAAATTTGTCACTACTTTTATAATTAGCATTTTCGTTTCTTCATTGTTTTTCTTTTTTATTATATACAACTTATGAGATTATACTTTGTTCTCTCATGTTCTAATTACGGTGCTTTTCGTATATGTTATATAGTTATTTAAGGGAATACAGTTTATGCTTTTGTTTGTTCACTACCTATTCATTTTATTATATAGCACTTTATAGGATTATACTTTGTGTTGTATAGTTCTAATTACAGTTTTTTTTTTTTTTTTGTATATGTTACACATACTGCTTTAATGGAATAAAGTTAGCGTTTTTGTTTCTTCACCTCTTTTCCTTTTTATTAAATAGCGCTTTATGCGATTATACTTTGTACTTTAGAATTCTAATTACAATGTTTTTTTATATATATTACATAGTGCTTTAGGGTGTGTTTGTTTGGAGGTTTGGATTTTGAGTTGAGATTTGAATAATAAAAATTTTGAATTTGAATAGTTTTATGATATAATATAAATAGGTATTGATGTGATATTTTAAATGTAAAATTGATTTTTAGTATAATATAAAAAATAAAAAATAGGTGTTTGATTTGATATTTTTGGGGAAAAAAAAAAGGATGAATAGTGGATTTAAAATCCAATCCCCCAAACAAACACACTCGAAATGTTTTTCCCAAAAAAATATCAAAAGATATACTATCTCTTTCCATTTAAAATGTTAATATTTATTTTTTACAGGTTAATATTTGAATACTAATTATTATATGAAAACGTACAAATTAAGAGGAAAAAAAAAACAAAAATACTATTATTAATGTCTTATAATAAAATATAATGAAATTTGTATAAAAAAATTATACAAATATAAGAATATTTATAATGTTAAATACAATGACGCAAAATATAAATATAAACTTATTAAGTGGACAAATAGAGTATTTGTTTTATATAATACTCCCGCCAAAGATGAACCATTTTGTTTGTCTATTTCACTTTATTTATCCTTTTATATTTGGAAAATAAAATTATAAATTTTATTATATTTTAAATTTTATTATTTATTAATATTTTTTAATTTTAATTATATTATTTAGTTATCCTAATTTTAATTTATAATTATCTTATTATACAATAATTATTTTTATTGATATATTTTTTAATTACTTACTAATTATATTTCATTTAAATTAAAGAGAGGGTAATAAATATAATTATAGTATTTTTTTTATTCTTAAAGTTGATAATAATATTAAAAAATATTTAATTTATATTTAATATTAATTATTTATGAATTATATTTTTAAAATAAAATTTAATATTTCATTAAAAATAATAAAAATATATACATAAAAAAATCTATATTAATTTAAAAACTTAAAATATTACATTTTATAAAAGTAAATATAAGATATTATATTTTTTTATTAAATACAAAGTATTATCATATATTAAAGATATATTTAAAAAATATATATTATACCCCCTCTGTCCCGTAGAAAGGTTACCGTTTATTTTTTACACGTAAGTTTTTTAATATTGATATTATATTATATTGTAGTGTAAAGAACAAAAATACCTCTATTAGTATTGTGTAATATAAAAGTAATGATATTTGTGTAATATAGTGTAAGTTGGAAGGATATTTATTATGTTAGGTAGGTAGTACAATTACTAAATTATGAAATAATAACTTTGTTTTGGAACGGAATGAAAAATGACAATATTTCATGAGACGAAGAGGGTATAAAATTTGTATTAAATAAAACAATAAATTTGTTGATTTGAAAGAGAAGAAAATTTTAAAAATATTATTTTAGATTCTACAATGTGAGAAAAGAACTTAATGGATTTTTAAAATGTTTTTAAGTTGATGTGGCGTGACGTGACATAAAGAAAAATATAAGAACTTTCTTATATCGTTTGCATTGTGAATGGTTTAATAATATTTATTATGTTAGATAGATAGTACAATTATTTTTTTAAAAAATAGTACACTTGTTTTTTTAGACAAATAGAAATAAAAAATAAAACTCTTTTTATAGGATAAAGTAAGTATCAAAATTTAATATTATTTACTAATTAATTATTACTATCTCATATATTATGTCATTAATAAAAAAAATATCAATTGTTCCAAAATAAAAAAGAAATGATAGTATAATTTATTTAATTTAAATTTTATTAATCAATCCACATATATTACTAAAATTATTACATATATATTATTAAATTATTAAACGTATATTCTACATAAAAAATAATAATAATAAAACGAAAATCGAATAATAGACCATTCAAATTGCATATATTATCATATTATTATTATTTAGGTGGGGCCACCACCAAAAATTAAAAATATAAAAATAAAAAATAAAAAAACAAAGGGGGCAACGTGGCGACACAGTTTGGTCACTAAATATTATATATATACGATTATTATTATATTAATATTATTATTATTCAACGTTATTATTATTATTACTTACATTATCATCCTCCATCTCTATCATCATTATTATTATATTAATATATATATATATATATATTATATTTTATATTTATCTTTATTCATATTTATCTGTTTAACAGTTTTTGTATTTATAATTAATATATAGAAATAAAATTTATTTTAAAATATTAATTTTTTGATCTCAAAATATTATAAAAATATTTATTTGCTGTAATAATATTATTTTATACACTTCAAAATTTGGGCAACATGCATACCTAATTTTTTAAAATTAGAAAAAATTAGATTTAATTTCCTACTGCTTACCTTTATCGACACTCCTTATCTTTTGCAATCTCACTCAAATCTCCTCTAACGTACACTTGCCCCATTATTTACTCAAATCAGATGAACTATATGCTTATTCATAGGAGCTACCTGCTTATTCAAAAGTTAATTTCTATAATTAGTTCATTAGGGTTCAAACTTTTATATTTAGTAGAATACGATATTCTAACTATAAAACTCTTATATCTTATAATATTTATATCTTACGATTATTAAATAAAAATACTTAAAAATATGAATAAACAAGCAGGTGCAATACACTGCCGTTTTCAATCTGATTTTGATCGATATAAAATTTTTAGAATATAACAATAGGACTACGAATAGACTATTAGCTAAAGAAATTTGTTGTTTAAATAGCCAATTAACAAATTATGATTTTTTGAAGAATTTATAATTTAATATCCTCAATTTCTAAATTTATATTAAAATTTATAATTAAACTCTACGTATAACAAGAAAATAATACCAAAATCGGATTTGAAATCACACGGCTAATTCTTTTTCTTTCTTTTTTTCGTCTTTCTTTCCTCTTTACTCCTCTCTGTGCGTTCTTCCTTCTGCTCGAACTAATGAGTGAGTTTATTTATTTATTTACTATATATGTATATATTTATATTATTATTATTATTATTATTATATTACTATTATTATTATTAAACGTTATTATTATTATTACTTACATTATCATCTTCCATCTCTATCATCATTATTATTATATTAATATATATATTATATTTTATATTTATTTTTATCGATATTTATCCGTTTAACAATTTTTATAATTATAACAAATATACAAAATAGAAATAAAATTTATTTCAAAATATTAATTTTTTTATCCCAAAATATTATAAAAATATTTATTTGATATAATAATATTATTTTATACACTCCAAAATCGGAGCATTACATCATCGCTCCCCCTCCATGTACTGCTGAGCCTAACCAAAGGCAAGAGGGACAAAGGACTGCTGATCGCCCGCTTGCTGAAGTTCCTATGGACATTCACTATCCGTGCCTCCTGGATAGCACTTTAATTACAAGTTCTGCACCCAGAGGCTCTGGGCATTATGAGGTGAAACATGCGCTAGTAAGCTTGGCCAGCTATAGTCAATTTCATAGGCTGTTCAATGAAAGCCCATATGAACATCTGCAGAACTTCAATAGGATCGCTGTCATCTCCAAATCGCACGGCATCACGGAGGACGCTGCATAGCTAATATTGTTTCCCTTTTTCTTTATTAGGAGAGGCAAGGAAGTTGTTTGATAACCTCTACCCCAGTTCTGCCACCTTCAAGGAAGCAACGCAGGCTTTCGTGAGCAAATATCATCATGTGTCGAAGACCATCAGCCAGAGAAATGAGATACTAAGTTTCAAAATGGTTGGTGAGACCCTGCCCAAAGCTTGGAGCTGCTATAAGTAACTGCTTCGTAACTGCCCTCATCATGAGATCCCTGACTTTATGGAGCTTCAGATCTTCTACTCAGGGATCCTTCCAGAATTGAGGATGTCCCTAGATGCACCTGCAGGTAGCTCGTTGATGGGGCGATGTGCTTCTGAAGCGAGAGCTTTAATTGAAAGGATGATGGCCAATCAGACATGTTAGCCAGAGACCAACAAGCCAGAGCCATCGAGGGGTCTTTACCAAGTTCCTGTTTCGGTCTCACAAGACACACGGATCGACAGCC